GGTGTGAGTGTGTGTGAGTGAGAGTGTGAGTGTGTGCGAGTGTGTGTGTGTGTGTGCGAGTGTGTGTGCGTGTGTGAGTGAGTGTGTGAGTGAGTGAGTGAGTGAGTGAGTGTGTGAGTGTGTGTGCGTGTGTGTGTGAGAGAGTATCTGTGTCTGTGTGTGCATGTGTGAGTGAGTGAGTGAGTGAGTGAGTGAGTGAGTGAGTGAGTGAGTGAGTGAGTGAGTGAGTGAGTGAGTGAGTGAGTGAGTGAGTGAGTGAGTGAGTGAGTGAGTGAGTGAGTGAGTGAGTGAGTGAGTGAGTGAGTGAGTGAGTGAGTGAGTGAGTGAGTGAGTGAGTGAGTGAGTGAGTGAGTGAGTGAGTGAGTGAGTGAGTGAGTGAGTGAGTGAGTGAGTGAGTGAGTGAGTGAGTGAGTGAGTGAGTGAGTGAGTGAGTGAGTGAGTGAGTGAGTGAGTGAGTGAGTGAGTGAGTGAGTGAGTGAGTGAGTGAGTGAGTGAGTGAGTGAGTGAGTGAGTGAGTGAGTGAGTGAGTGAGTGAGTGAGTGAGTGAGTGAGTGAGTGAGTGAGTGAGTGAGTGAGTGAGTGAGTGAGTGAGTGAGTGAGTGAGTGAGTGAGTGAGTGTGTGTGTGTGTCTGTGTGTGTGTGTGTGAGTGTGTGTGTGTGTGAGAGTGTCTGTGTGTGTGTGTGTGTGTGTTGAACAGGTCTTCTGTTGTGTTCAGGACTAGAGTTATTCTCGTCTCCACTAGCAACTCTGCTCACTTTGTTTGAATCGTGACGCTCAATCCTCAGAAACAAAGAGCTGCTCTGTGGGACGCTGAAGCTCTGAGTCTGAGCCAAAGAACACGGCAGGAACCTGAAAAACAGGAGCAGTGACCATCACGGCTCCGTCTCAACCAACACACACTTACTAGAGAGCACACTCGAACCCTCCTGATGACACACAGGCTCAGAGTCACTCAGATCAGAGATGAAGCTCACAGCGCTGAGTTCAGTTCAGGCTTCAACATCATCAACATCATCAGCAATGTCAGTATATTCACACACACAAATACATAATTAGGGTTACAATTGGTATTAGTTATTATTACAGGGTTTTTACAGTTAACTAACTTAAAAAAACATTTTTGTTACTTAAATTAAATGAAACTAAAGCAAAATCTTGAAAGCCTCTCAGTGAGCATGGATTGTATATAAGCTGTTTGTAAGGGGCAGTCAGTCATGACGTCTTCATGTGTGTGTCACACTCCTTCATTCATCAGGATCAAGCAGCTTCTGTGTTTTACAGCAGCGTAACACTGATTAAACAGTAAAATCCCAAACTGAAGACCATGAATTTCTGTCCTGATTTGAATGGTAATGAAGGAAATAACAGAAGGAGACGTTTGTGAGCGAGATCAACCGCTCTGTTAATAATTTCAGCTCATTTGTTTTCATCGTCACACAAACGAGCGCTTCCTCTTTGATGTGACATCACATGTGACCACGCTTGAATGGACCGGACCAGAAGAAGAGGTTTCCATAGCAACGGCCCACACACACACACACACACACACACACACGTTTGTTTTCTTAGTGAGGACATTGCATAGACTTTTATTGATTTTCTATCAGGTTAATGATATTTTCTATCCCCTAACCCGACCCCTACCACTAAACTTACCCATCACAGAAACATGTGCAGAACACAAGATCTACATAAAAATCATCCTACTACTTGTCCACTTGATCCTATCCCCCCACTCACCTCCTTCAGGCCATTTCTTCTTCAGTCATACCTGCACTCACTCACATTATCAACACCTCTCTTCACACTGGTACATTTCCCACAGCATTCAAGCAGGCTCGGGTATCCCCACTGCTTAAAAAAACCCTCTCTAAATCCAGCGCTTTTAGAAAACTACAGACCGGTATCCCTTCTTCCGTTCACTGCAAAGACACTTGAGCGAGTTGTGTTCAACCAACTCTCTATGTTTCTGCACAGAACAACCTCCTGGACAGCAACCAATCTGGCTTCAGAAGCGGCCACTCAACTGAGACTGCCCTGCTCTCGGTTACTGAAGCCCTGAGACTGGCAAGAGCAGCTTCCAAATCCTCAGTACTCATCTTGCTGGATCTGTCTGCTGCTTTTGACACCTTTAACCACCAGATCCTCCTGTCCACCCTCATGAAGATGGGCATCTCAGGAACCACACTCCAGTGCTTCAAGTCCTACCTCTCTGGTAAGTCCTTCAGGGTGTTTTGGAGGGGTGAGGTTTCTAAGTCACAACTTCTTGCTACTGGGGTTCCTCAAGGCTCAGTGCTTGGACCACTTCTCTTCTCCATCTACATGTCATCATTAGGATCTGTCATTCAGAAGCATGGCTTTTCTTATCACTGCTATGCTGATGACACTCAAATCTACTTCTCATTCCAACCAGATGACCCGACGGTAGCTGCTCGCATTGCAGCCTGTCTGAGAGACATTTCTAGCTGGATGAAGGACCATCACCTTCAGCTCAACCTTACTAAGACAGAACTGCTTGTGGTCTCAGCCAACCCAGCACTTCATCACAGCTGCTCTATACAGCTGGGTTCATCAACCATAACTTCTTCCAGGACAGCCAGAAACCTAGGAGTGGTGATCGATGATCAGTTAAGCTTCACAGACCGTATTGCTACAACAGCCCGGTCCTGCAGCTTTGTCTTATACAACATTAGGAAGATTAGACCCTTCCTGTCAGAGCAGACCACACAACTGCTTGTCCAAGCTCTTGTTCTCTCCAGACTGGACTATTGTAATGCTCTCTTGGCGGGCCTTCCCACATGCACTATCAAGCCTCTGCAACTGATCCAGAATGCAGCAGCGAGAGTGGTCTTCAATGAGCCAAAAAAAGCTCACGTTACTCCT